AATAGGTTTCAATGTAAGAGTATACCTTTCAACAAAACAAAAAATTTACAATTTCAACATTTGCTGTGCGTCTTTGACTTCTGTTTAGTTTACACACATGGCACTAAAATTTCAGCTAATTTGGTTGCATTTGAAGCTTTGGACTTGTGTATGTGTGGATCAGACCTATTTTTCAGCTGCTAGAAAGAAATCTGGAAACCACTTGTTCCATTTCTTTCTATAAGTTTACAGCTCCTACTGACAGGCATCTGTCTGTTGCTGTTACCTTCTTCCTGTTTTCATACTTACTTCCTCCCTGAAGGAAAGATTTCCCAAAGCTTTGTGTTTGCACATTTAAAGGCTGTGACTAAGTCTAACACGGAAAAGTTTTCAAGCTTATAAAGAAAAAAAATTCCATCCTCCTCATCTAAGAAACTCTTTACAAAGTACCAGACTCGTGGATGACTCTTGGAAGACCTGATGGATTTCTTCCAGGTGGGAAAAGGAACATGCTGACCTCAGCACTTATCAGTGCCTTTTTCAGTTCCTGCACAAGGGACCCACCAGTTTTCTTTTGTTCAGTCCTCTAAGTGTACCTGATGTCAGACAGAGGACCATGTTGTTTCTTAACCTACCTGCTCGAAAAGGCAACTGCAGTCATTATTGTTTTCCTTTTCTGATCATTATTGTTATCCTAAAGGTATGATTACAGACGTGCCCTTAGGTGGATGAGCTGGTTCCCATAGTTTTCGCCCAGAATCCCAGGGTTTGGTAACTTTATCCCTGTGTAGCCAGCTCTGCCTCCTCCACTGTGGTGGGGTCTAGGTTTACTGAGAAAGTAATTTTCATGCACGCCCAAAGCTCAAACTCAGGCGGACTCTTTTATTACCACTGCCGCACGGATGGGATTATCTCAAACTATGCATGTAATTAACATTTGGTGCAGTGAAGTACTATCTTTGCTAAATCCATGTCCAAACAAAAGTTCAAGTCTGCCTCTTAAATTAAAATTTATATCATTGATTGTACTTCAGAGAAACCTCTATGAAATCGCTCACTGCAAACGAGGTCAGTGATATGATTGCGTTCAGGCACCAAGGAGGCTTATCATTTCTTTGATAGATGCTGTCAGAAAGCCAGCTTTGGCAGAACATGAACCCACAGAGGGCCCCCCTGCTGCTTTAGTATTGTTTAAGGACTCTTTGGGTACCTGATATATACAAAAGTAACCAGTTTGCTTAATTTGGCTAAAGTTTCGGTTGATCTTTTTAGCCTGACAATATGGTTACATTTTACTGTAAAATGTAAACCCCCCCCACATTTATTCAGTTCTGTAAGTTAAAGTTTAATTGGGAGAATTTTTTATTTTTATTTTTATTTTTCCCAGGTGCTTAAGATGGCATCTTCAATTTCTTGCTTTCATCAACAGCCAAGGACATCCAGGGTGCACTCAGAAGTCAGAACCACACCATTTCACAACTTTTGATTTAATAATGAAAAAGAAAATCTAATGAGAGATACAATTAATTTTGTACGTGTTGTACCGAAAGCCCCTTCAATAACATTTTACACAATCTCTACCTATGATTACATGTGTACCATACGTGACGGAGACTCTGGAGTGACGGAGGTTGGCTGAGGCACGTGCTGCCGCTTATCAAAGGCTCCTCTTCATAGTAGCATTAATGTTATCTGGCTCTTATCTTATCGAGCTGAATTGGTCAACGACCTTGAATGGTAGTTGGGAAGCTCTGCAGGGCTTCAAGGCAAGAATCAAATTAAAAGGAAAAGAAAGATGTAATGTAGTTCTCTGAAGTTGTTGCCTTTTTATGGCTCAAATATAATGCATTACATTTTTCTTCATCATAAAAGTGACCAGTTTAAGTCTGAAGAAACAAAAGTGCCTCCCCACCCACCCCCCCGGGGTTAATTGACTAGGACAGTTCACTGTCTGACCTTGAAAAAAAGTGTAACGCTGACAATTTTCGTTTAAATCTCAAAGATATCTTCGTCCTTATTCTTTCTAGATTTGTATTTGGTGGCTTTTGCACTCTTGTTCACCTTGAAGTTTTAAATCTGTCATCATGTGATCCAACTCCCTGATCTGCATCTGGCTCCAGGTTATGCTGCCCAAAAGCTGTCTGAGTCCCAGTGAGAAAGAGAAGGGCTAAAGCCACACCAGTCTAAACCAGCTTTCCAGCGCCTCTCCAGCAACGACTCTACTGCAGAGCCATGAGCAACCCCGATGCTCCCAGCCAGGTTACGGACGCCGTGGCTTCGGTTATTCACGGAGTAAGTACGCACGCCCACATGCACAAAAGCTTCAGCCTGCCCTATCAGGTCAGGCTACACCATCACTGGCTGCATGATAAAGGATATGAGATAGTGGCTCTGATTTAAAACCACATTAAACTAAACACATTGGCAGGACTTAGTCTTTCCTTAGTTTGGTCTTTTCCTATCAGTTCTCCTTGTGCTGGATTTATGCTGCATCAGCTTCCTCTGCCCTCTCTGGCATTGGAGTGTGTATTTTGGACAGTGATGTTCCCTCCAGTGCAGATCTAGTAACATCCAGTTCTCTGCCAACATACAGCAGCTCTGACTACAACATAAAAATGTTCAGGAACGCTCAGAGAGCAGCTCCTGTTGAAATCGCCCTCTTATTACAGCACTGGAAAATATCAGCAGGCACACAGTTAAATCTGTTTCCTTCCTCTTTTCTTAAAGTTGACGTTGTTGAAAACAGTGAAAACAATATTGGCACATAATGAGAGTTGATTGCGAGGCTGCTGGTGGAGCACGAGTTGATAAACATGGCTGGCAAAGGCCTGAGGGCAGCTGGTCAGTGGCCAAAGAAAGCAGAATTCCTCCACAGAGGTTCTCAACAAGGTCCTCTCGTGATTATCTTGCTGCAGCAGAAAATAATCACAATCCAGCCGTGAATACTCTCATATTGCTAGAGCTGATCCGTTTATGACTATGGCTTGTAAATTCCAGGCATACATTCAATTTCATACCAGGAAATATCAGGATTGCGGTTTTATTAACTGATTTACCCACCTTTCCCAGGAGCTCTATCTTTCCCAGAATGACAAGCCATATTTTTGATAACTTTACTGTGAATTATATGTGCAGCTAGGTAGAAATGGGAAAACATTTATTTCTGAATAACCAGTCATGAAGGCCACTACTGACTGAGAGTACACGTTCGTCTTCTGCCGTTGTTTTCAGTTTTTCACAGCAGATCCAATCGAGGAAATCCCACCTTGAGCCTAGCTTTGGACTTCATTTCAAATGTTGCAACTACTCGGGAACTAGACAAAGGTTGAATCACCAGGCATACACACTTCGAAGTCGAATCTCACTAGTTAACGCAGAGAATTAGAAGCATTTAGATGAAATTCGATACAGATATAGAGAGAGAGATATATATTCCAAGGTGTTCCCAAGCCAGCTAAGAGATGCAATGTCTACTGTATGTCCTTGGTTTGCCTAGGGGCCTCCTCCCTGCAGGACGTGCTTGTTTCCCCTCACCTAGGAGGTGTCCAGTCACCACAGCTGGCTCCATTCGATGTGGAGGAGTAGCGGCTCTACTCTGAGCTCCTCCTGAATGACTGAGTCTCTAAGGGCCCAGACAGCCCTTGGAGGAAGATCATTTCCGCTGCTTGTTTCTGCAGCCTCATTCTTTTAATCATTCCCCTCAGCTCGAGGCAATAGGTGAGGGTAGGAACGTACATCAAAACACAAAAGTAAAGCTGTCGATTTATCGGTAAAAATCGGCAGTTTCACTTTTACACTCTGCTCTCTCCACCCCAACAGACTGATTCAGCATCCACATCACTGCAGATGCTGCACTAATCTGTTAGTCTCCTGCTTGCACATTAACAAGACACTGAGATACTTGGAGCACCAACTCATTGAACTGCACCCATTTCCAGGTGTGGCCTTGAGATTGGAGGTAATAGTTCTACAACTGTAATGGGTGGATTTTTTATTTATTTATTTATGTATTTATTTATTTATTTATTTATTTATTTATATCCAACTCTTCCTTGAGTTATGCTACTAAGGCTTAAATTTAGGGATGTTGCTGCTTCGATTGACAGGCATGCCGACCTTTGCCAGTCAGTGAACTGGACCTCTCAACCATGTTTGTGCTGCTGCTGCTTCATTTAAGCATTTAAATGAAGTCATCTGACTAATATTACACCCCGCTGTGGATAGATGGATGCATAGCTTTGCGTATGACTGTTTATCTTACATCCTGCACAGCTCACATCTAATCAGCACTTCAGGATCAGATTATTCCCTTGATCAAATCATCATAACTAAATAATAATAATGATAATAACTAAATAAACTTTCTGTTCCTGACAAAGCGAAAAGGGTAAAATGCTGTTTATTTAGAAGCAGTAAATTCCTAATACAGTGCCTTTTAGATGCACAGACATTCAGTTTGTGTATAATACCAAAGGCATTAGTTGCTATGAAGAACATGGTGCAAAGGGCAGAGCTCCTGTGTTCATTTACAGCACTCTGCATGTCTTTATTGTGTTTGTACTTAGTAGGTTTATGGCAGCCAACTGAGCCTGTGATCCATAATTTCTTTTGGCTGTGATGAGATTTGCCAGTTGGTAGCACAAAGATAAAAAAAATTCTGGGTAAATGATTAACTCCTGAGCGGGGTGTGTGTGTGTGTGTGTGTGTGTGTGTGTGTGTGTGTGTGTGTGTGTGTGTGTGTGTGTGTGTGTGTGTGTGTGTGTGTGTGGTCAAGGAGTGGTCAGTTACTCCACTCTGGATTTTATGTGCTGACATTTTGAAACTAATGTCAGTGGTTGTCGTCTTCCTGCCGTGAAGATCTGCCCTGGTCACGTGACTGAGGCAAACTGAAATGGAAACGCGTTGCCTTCTAGGAAAGGAGCCAGCACTACATTCATACAGGAAAACCAAAACTGTCTCTGAGGTTCACATCGCAAAAACGCCTGTAATGTCATTTGATGGACTTCCTGTATAAGGTGAGTTTGTCACCTTTGTGCTTAGGCTGTTTGTGTGACATTTTGGCTTGATGTTATCTTTCCCCGCTTTCCCCGAACAGAGATTGTTCCAAATGTTGTCTGACTTTACTTCTTAAGGTAAACCTAACCTCAGCACGACCCCTGCAGCTGTTTAATGTTCAGTCTTGTTCTTGAGGGTTTTTTTTTCTATGCCCAGTAGCTCATTTCCTTTTCTCCTTAAACTGCAGAAATAGAAGTTAATAATTACTTCCTTATGTCATCTTAATGCGCGAGTAGTTGCACATAGTCACTCCTCTGATGGTCAGCAGTGAGATTATGAGAGTTTTCTTCACAGGGGCTTACAGAGTTTTTTTTTTTTTTTTTCTTTTCGTCAGTGGTTGTAACCAAACCACAACGAGTTAACTGTTAAATTGCAAAGCAAACAAGGAAATGAACTTCCTACAAAAAATAACGGGGCAAGTGTTGTGGCAGTATTCTCTGTTACTTCTCTCCTTGGAAATGAAACTCTGAAGTCACGGTTTCTTACAGAACATCTGCTGGTTGGTGACCCTAAGCTAACTCACTCCATTCTCTCGGGGTGCAACACATGCTTCCTTCTGCCCCTGCTGCTGCGTAGGTCACCTTATTAGGAATGTAAACAGAGCACATGGAGAAATGGCTTAGTCAGTCCACATTAGCAAATTAGCTGAGTCAGTGTTAGAATTATCGGGGAGGATCCTTTATTTTCTCCCCTGTAATAGTTGTTATAGTTTATAGTTGAGCCTCGTTGGGTCCACTTTAGTTTAAGTGACGTAAAATTTGTCATCAGTGATTTTGAGAACTGCAGGTTTAGACTATTAAACTTTGTTTTGTTTTTTTAATGGGAAATGTTACACTTAACTGACACTGGGACTGTTGTGGAGAACAGCATCAATAAGCTAATAAGGAGAGAAAACTTCTACTGAGTAGAATTATTTCAGCTTATTGGTGCTGCCCTCCACAACTGTGGCATTTCTCGCGAGGTTCCATTCCCGCTTTACAGGTTTTAGTATGTAGAGCTTTATAAACATGGTACACGTGATTCCAATTATGTTAAGGGATGCTACAAAAATCTTAAAAAATCAGCTCTAAACAGGATAGATGGCCTCTTGTTGCAGGTTAAAATAAAAATATTCTTTGCCTGTTGACTATTTCACAATCGTAATCACGCCCCCCTCTTTGATTCCTTTTAGGGAGTCTCACCCTTGAACTTCACGTTGAGATTGAAATGCACACTTTGTCTTTGCGGCATTGAACTTTGACCTTTCAGTGAACTCTTTCAGTGAGCTGTTGGTCGTCCGTGATTGGGATCAGCCCTCTGTGGTTTGCACTACCTCCTCTTTCACACTTTTAAAAAAAATTATTATATATCATTCTATCTTCATTCTTCCTGTGACGTGTATCTGACTCCCTCTGTATGTGACTCATCTCATTGAGTTTGTAAACTCAGTTTGTCAGTTGGACATTTTAAATAAAATGAGGCGTAGAAACACGACCCCAGGCTGTGTAGACTACCAAATTGCGTCAGACTGATGGCTGGGAAAAGCAAAACTTTAAACATGGCCTTTTAAATGCGTGATGCAACAGGAAGGTTGTTGAAATCAGTGTTTGTAATAGAAATTTGAGCGCTGGCTGAGGTAAGACCTGGGTTACAACTCTTCTGCTTTCACACACTGTTCTGGAAAACTGAGCACAATCTGCACTGGGATTTCCTTGCAGTTGATTTACTTTAAAGATATGAGTTAATACAGCGACACATCAGCCACGATGCACAACATGATCACTACAGTGTCTGCACCCCCGCCTCCACTTTGCTTCCAAGTGCTGACTGTGGAGGATTTGCGACTGCCTCACCACACAAATAATCTCCTGCAGCCTCCACATGCTGAGTGTTGGTTTCTTTCTACAACAGTCTCTGCACATGCATGCCACTTACTAAAACCTGCTTTAAAAATGGATGCATTACATGTTTCAGCAGTCTTAGTGCGGCAGATACAGTAAACTAATGTTGAAAGGAAATCTTTCACAAGTGGATGAAGGTTTTAAAATTGGCAAATACAGTATTTGATAAACCCTGTTAGCTATTTGAAAATCGCTTTTAACAAAATATATATTTTTTGAGGAAAAGCTAACTAGACATGCCCCTTTTAAAATTATCCATCCATATTTCTTTTGCCGCATATGTGGGATCAGGTCATGCAGGAAGCAGCTCAGGCAGACTTTCCTCGCCCGGCCACGTCTTCCAGCTCATCCAGGGGGATACAAAGTTGTTCCCAAGCCAGCTGAGAGAGATAATATCTTCAGAGTCCTAGGTCTTTCCCAGGACCTGTTTCCAGTAGGAAATACTTGAAATACATGCCTAGGAATTGTCCAGGAGGCATCCTAGTCAGATGCCCAAACCACCTCAACTGGCTCCTTTTGACACAGACAGCCCTCCTCACCCTATTTCTAATGCGTGACTCATGCTTCGAAGGCAAATCTATGATGTAACTTACAATATAATTGTGAATTCATTTGAACCTTATGCTATAACCTATGATGTGCACCTCCTGAGAAATGCAACTACACATCAGACTGATGCAGCTCACAACGGTGTGAATGGCGTGGAGGGTTGCGGTGTAGGGTCAAGAGTGACTTCTGGTTTCGTCATAAATCAGATTTCCCAAAGAAGTCCAAATCAAGTTTAACACAGTCCAGGACACTGATTCTAAAGGAAACCCCTTTCTGTGGCTCACGCTTCACTCTCCCCTCACTCATGAAAAAGACCCCGATACTTAAACCCCTCCACCTGGGGTAGAAACGTTCCCCTAACCAGGAGAGGGCACGCCACCCTTTTCCAGCTGAGAACCATCATCTCGGACTTGGAGGTGCTGAATCTCATTCTCGACGTCTCATACTTGACCACAAACTGCTCCGGTGCAAGCTGGAGGTCACCACCTGTTGAAGCAAACAGAATGACATCATCCGCAAAAAGTAAAGATGAAATCCAGCCACTACCTCGCTACTTTTATCTTGGTGTTAACTTCTACTTGACTGATGATTTAACTTGCGTTATAACATTTTATATGTAACGCGAGTGGATGGACTCCTGTCAGGTTGCGCCAACACACAAAAGAGCTGAGCCAAAGATAAACAGGCCTTAATGTGGGTAAATAACTGAAATTCGCTGAATCACACATGACTCAGTTGGCACTGAATTAATATTAAATGCTCTAACCTTAGGTGTATGCTTTAAAGTGCTATCAAAGCAGTGGAATGGTAATTCCTTGAAGAGAACAGCACGGTGCAGCTATGAACACTCCTTCAGTATCCAGCCTCACATACAACTCACTATAAACTTTTTCCTTGTCTTTACCACCTCTCTTTCCTGTACACCTCGCTTCCCAGTACTCCTGTCTACTTTCTTAAACATCCTGCCTATCCCACTTATTCTCTGTCAACCTCTTTCTTTGAACACGTTCTTGTACTCCCTCATTCCACAGCCAAGTTTCTTTGTCCTCTTTGCTCTGTCCAGAGGACACACCGAACACCTTCTTGGCACTGCTGCTGAACTTTCCCCAGTCATCTGATAAGTCTTCCCTAGCACCCAGACCCCGTCTCAAGTCCTCCCAGGACTCTGTGCACTGTTCTTCCTTCTTCAGCTCACAACAATTGAAATCCTAAACTGTTTTTATTCTCTGTATTGGATCCATTAGATTGCATTACCGTACATTAGCTCCCTCAACTGCTAATTCTCATACATGAACATAGATCATTTGTTGAAATAGCTGAACCACTTAAACAGGATTGATGAAGAGTGTGCTTAGATTGAATTATGTTACTAATGCATTTAAACTTCTCTCATTTTCTGGCTAAAGCTAAAATATTAAAATGTCTTAAACTCAGTTTTGCCGGGTCTCAAGCCGCACATCTCTAGCCTCGGTCTACACATTTGGATCATGCAGTGCAAATTCAGTATTAAGAGCGTGCTTTATTGTCTGACTCAACCTTTCAGGCTTTTTCACATGTTTAAAAAAGCATTGACTGTAAAATGGCTAACTTAACAGTTCTAGCTCAAGCTAAAAACTGGAAATGCTTATGAAACAAACTGCGTTGTGTGTTTAAGATGGGTCACACTTTTGGTTTTCTTTTCGCCGTAATGAATATATTTGAGCAACGTGCATAAACTCGAGCTCTTGGAAAGAGTCTATTTTCACACTGCTCTTTGGTTCCATGTCAAGTTTAATTAGTTTCATTTAAAGTAGAACCCAAAAAAGTAGATTCTGTTCATCTCTTTTCAGTCTGAGAAAACGTGTCCAGCTTTTTTAGGTTTTCCTTACCTGGATGATTGAGCGTGCATCAAAATCATTTAATGTACTGTTAAAAAGTCTTAATGTGGCTGTAGACATGTGGGGAAAACAGCTGTATTTGTTAGTTTCTGTAATTGAGACAGACTGTAATTCACAGGTCAGATTTTAGTCACTTTTGAGTCTTTCATGTTTCTTTTCAGCCCGTTGCTTAACATTACTTCTGTCAATATTAGCCTTCAAAAAAAAAAAAAGTGTAAGAGGTTTAGATCATATGCACTTAAAGCACCCAGGTAAATATTTAGACTTTATGTGGAAAACGTGGGGATGAATGTCAGCGTCGGGTTTTGTTCTTGACTGTTTAAACACGGCTTGTCCTTTCAGGCCACACTTGTCCTCAAAGCGAGAATGCGAGTCTTGTTTGTTCGGCCTCGGCACAATACGCAACCTGGTGAAGGTGGCAGGCTGGGCGATAGGGCTCTGATTATGGCATCACGAGGCTTTGATAAGCAGGGGGAGAAGGATATCTCCTGCCTGCAGTTCTTTAATAGAGGTGCTGAGTGAAGTGAGAGATCCAGTTTTGTCATGGTGGAGGGCGCTGACGCTTGTTGTCACCAAAAACCGTGCTTTTGATAAAGCTCACGTCATGAGCGAGGTAAGTCACTGAAACTGCAGAAGAAGTGTTGATCTTATTCAATTTACTCGTTTTTTTTCTGCTCTCTTTTTTCCCTACTATGCTTCCCTCAGCTTGTTCTCATACGTGCCGTCGGTTGTGGAAAATTCTTGCACCCCTTCGAGAATCCTTCACACGTTGCTTCCACCTCGAGGGATTCACCGTGAAACCATGATATGAATGAGGGCCCTGTAAAAACAAACAACGAGATCATTTAGCTACACTCTGAGGGCTTCACTCGTCTGGATAATGCGCTGCAGGGTTTTGGATCAGTAATTAAGTGCTGAACGGTTGATGGTGATGTGGATGCAGGCTGATGCTTCAGTTCATAGCAAAATAGCACAGATCTGCTTGGTTATTGGTCCTTAAAGCTGAATTCTTGACTCTGGAGGTCACTGAGGTGCAGTGAGTCTGCTCACTCCTGTTTTTAGGCACTTGTAAAAAAAAAAAAAAAAAAAAGGGGGGGGGGGGGGTGAGAGATCTATGAGAAATTGAACCTTGGGTCAATATTGAACGTTTGCTTGAAAGCCTTTTATTTTCAGCCCGTCCTCCGTTCAGCAGAGGGCTTACCGCTGCTGTCACCTTTGTGTGGCATGCAAAAAGAAGCATGGTGTTACAGGCTATGGGAGTCAGTTTTCCACACTCTTCCTGCACATGCCTGCATGTCTGATCATCTGTTGACCTTTAATTATTATTAACCAGAAAGTTTCCCGCTTACATTTTCTCATCTCGATGGACTTCATAATCTTCGTGTGTCTAGGGGACCTTTGTACATCACACAGGTGCTGTAGAAGGTGTAGAAAATGTGATGTGAGCTATAAAAAAAAACGATAAAAATATTTTACAGCGTGCTTGTAAGTAACGACATTTTTATTGTCGTTTTAATTGAATTACTAGTAGTTAAACTGAAGTTTTGTAGTTTAAACCCATCAGAAAAGTATTTGATAACAATAAGAGTACAGTACCATCTGTGCCAAAACTTTGAGCCTAGACACAAAACTATCATCACGTTTGCTGTTGCTCCCTGCAGCACAGGAAAGCCTAGTGTAGGACCACCATGTTGGGAACATTTAACAGGGTGTCAAATGATTTGCGATCCCCGAGTTTTGCCACCTGCTGAATGGTGTCTGAGCAGGTACTCTTGTCATATCGCTGCAGTCCGTCCTTTTCTCAATATCTCACCGGGAGAGACGGAGCAGGGCTCAGCGGGTTACTGCGACATGCTGCAGGAAAACAGATCTCTTATCACCCATGTGATCCCTGTTGGAACTGATCAAAGCTCATGGCTATGGTTTCTGACTTTAAAGCTCATGTTGAAGAAGAGATGACCTAACTGATGTGTTCACAGCTAGGACAGAACGCCCTCTAGTGGTGGTTTTAAGTGAGGCGCACACTTGTTCATTCTGAGCTGGGTTTTCAGCATGCACTCTTAGACATATGCATATCTCTTCTAACATAGGGCGAGAGGCGGGGTACACCCTGGACAGGTTGCCAATCTGAAGCATTTCCTCATTCTTATTTCACTGCTGTCTTGTTTATTTTCATCTTTTGTTGCAGCCAGAAGCTCCTGCTGCTTCATCACTACACGGGTCTCCGCGCCCAGAAGAGGAGGATGATGGGGACCTGAATAAAGCCTTGGGTGTCCAGCGCTTCCAGCAGATCCTCACGCCTGCTGCTGCCGTGCCTGATAAGGAGCACCACATTTACCATGACGAAGACATTGAATGTGAGCGTGCAGAAGCTTCATAAAGCATGGAGATGCTTTCAGTTGTGTGCGAACAGCTCTGAGGTTGATGTATTTATCTGTGTTTCAGACCACCGACACTCCTCTCACCACATCCACCGGCCTCTGTCCAAACTGCCCTCTGACGTACGCAGGAGGAAGGGCAGCAAGAAAAGGAAGAAGGATAAAGATCACAAAAGCAGCCATCCTCCCTGCAGTGTCCCCATAGAGGAAGGTGAAGATGAGGAGGAAGAGGAAGAAGAGGGGACAGAGCTAAATTCTGTTCTGTCAGAGCGATCTGAGTCAGAGAGAACCAAAGATGTGGAGGTAATCATTTTATTATTAGATTCATTTGAGTCTTTTTAACAGTGTTTGGGAGTGAATAAGATAAAACCCCACGAGAAGCGTTATTTGATACAAAAATTGGTTGAAAATGGGTTTTAAATACAAATTTGCTTCAAGAAAAGGGAACGATGTGATGTAACTTTTCTCTTTTAAACCAAATTGAAACCTACTGTGTACCTTTAGGCTTGTTCTAATTCAGGGTTAATTAAAAGCTTGAATTATGTTGAATTCTGGGTTTTGCAATAGTCTGACAACTTTTCACCTTTGATTTTCTACTTTAAACATAAATAGACTTTAGACCAGAATAAATGTTGATGGGTTCCTGAGGTTTGGTGGAATTTGAGAAGAAACTCTATACTCTTAAACAAACACTAATCAACACTGGGCAGGAAAAATCCCCCTTTTAATAGAAGGGAATGTCAAACAGAACCGGACTCGGAGTGGGCGGCTATTTGCCTCAACCCACTTGAATGAGTTCGCATAAAATCAACAAGTAATAATCAAATGATTGCATGAAACTTTTTGCTCCCTTTGAATTCATACTGAAATCCAGCAACATCTAAATAACTCTGATTTATGTGCAAAAGTCTCCGCAGGCTTTGTTTCTCCATTGTCTGGATGTGAGAGACGTTCGATTTATCTGATTTATTTATTTTTGACCGTGTTACAGGAAGCAGCACTCTCACGCTTCCTTTTCCCTCCACAGTTCTTCGTTTCCGAAGATGACCATGTATCCAAAAGTGTCAAAGAGAGCCCACACTCGGTCCGAAAGCTCGACATCGTACCGCAGTCCGGTGTGGGAGGTGAACATGAAGACGCAACTTCCACAGAGTGAGTCAAGTGTGCTTCATAGACTTCAAAAAGAAGTGAAAAAGGGCGTGATTGTTAGGTTGGTAATCATGCCTTACCTGCCGCGATGACTGCTTAATGCATGTTTTTGTCTTTTTTGATGAAATGTCCTCACAGCCATCCTGTTTGGGTGAGAGCACTGAGGCTCACGCCTGTTCGGGGGGCGGGGGTGTGTGATGCACTGTACGTTACCATGTCTCAGGCATCCAGTGAGCCTGCTGGGCATGATCAGATGGACCAGAGGAATCCTGTCCTCAGAGACCCATATATCACCTGTTGCTACTCAGCAGCCCAGACTCCACCTGTGACATTTACTTTGTTCCTTTTTAAAGAAATCTGAGCTTGAAAGAAGCTGCACATACACCTTTTGCTTATTTTGAGTCGATTAGAGATCAGCTTAACCGCAGAAGATTTGTCTTTTAAACCATTCTTACCTAAAGTGGAGGAAGTTGACTTAAAGACGAGGTTGTAAAGTAGCGTTTACGCTAGACGGTAAGTTAATTATGTCTATTTTTGCTGGATGTGTTGTTAAAATTCTTTGTCCTCTGTCCACATTTTTGCTTTTTGCAGCTAAATGTGTAACTTGCACCGTGCATGCATTTATCAGAGTAGGAGAAGCAGTAGAAGGCTGTAATACTTCGACAATGTTAGTCCTGTTAAAACGAAACAACTATTGGGAGGATTTTTATGTGTGGTTGAGTGTGCACAGTTCCCAGTTTTTAAAGGGGGAAATGTTCAATCCTAAAGATAAAAGATGAAAAACAATCCATTTTTTACTTCTAATCTTTCTGCTCTTCTTTAGTAAACTGCCTTCATCTGAGCCCTCCAGCCCCACTGCCCAGTCAGTCCCAGCCGAGCACACGCCGCTGACCCGCGTCTCCTCCGCCAGCCGCAGTTACGACCTGACAGAGCGTCGACGCACGGGCAACATGACGGGTGCCGAGCAGGCCAAGTACCAGCGCATCCCCACTGATGAGAGCGAAGCTCAGACGCTGGCCTCTGCTGACCTGGACGGCATCAAGAGTGAGTGCGAATCATTTGGCAAGCAGATACTAATCGTGGCTTAAGTTCAAGCCTACACAGACTAAAAGTGTAAAGAGGTATTTAACATAGGTGCCCTCCAGCTAGCCTTCTGTGGTTGTGTTTGAGGGGTGTTTTTGAAGGAAACGCACTTTGACAGTTGATTGAAGTGAGATGTAATGTGAGCAATAAAGCGTTTCTCTCCTGCTTTTTATTGGCTGTTGATATTGTTAAAAGAGGACTCGTTACCTCTTTATGTTTTGTGTATTCTGGTAAATATGTAGCATTCTTTTTATCTGTATTCTGGGATCACCAGTGGCTCACATGACTGCCTGTATGTAAAATGAGCTCCTTGTAATGATAAACCCAACAGATAATCATCTCCTTACTCTGCAGTTTCTGTCTGCTTTACAAAATGATGATTGTTACAGCTTGTAAGGTTGGACAAAAAAATAGTACAAAGTATACTTACCTGCTCAGCAGTACATAGTGACTTATTGTTAAACATAGAAAGAGGTTTTCTTAAAAAGACCGAGAGTGATTAAACAGCATAATCCACCAAATCTCAGGCTGTACAGGTTTGTTATTGTTTCTGCATCCTTGAGCCTCCGGTGGGCCATATGACTTCAATTTCGTCATCAGGTGAAGAGTGCAGGGCTTTGTGTCCACAAAAGAGTGCTTGCTAGCTTTTTGCGCATGTCCAGACTCTTATGAGGAGAGACAATAGACTACAGTACATCAACTCTGCACACACTCTTCAGGTGGATTCCAGAGAAAGCACAACAGGTATGACTACTCATCTGTGGTGTCTCCAGCTGTCTGTGTCTGCTTTGCTATTTGCCTAAGTATTTATACGCAGCTTGTGGGCAAAATGTCTGAGGTGGTGGATCTATTAGAGTATTTTATTTATTAGTAAAAAATCCAACTATTGCTTTTATTGATTTATTCAACAAAACTAAGGTTGTCATAGGTAGAGAGGTGGGATACAGGTCATTGCGGTGATACAGATAATCACATATTTACAATCATCAGTTTGTCTCTGGACTGTGAATGCAAAAAAGAAAAAAGTCCCATTGATGGTCAATCAATGGGGCTTCACTTTTTTTGTTTTTTATCCTGTTTCGAAAATGTTTCATGGATAATAAAGATAAAGCCCCTGCATTTCCTGCTTCTAAATTCATATAAAACTGATGTTCTCTTCGGCTGATTCAAAATCCCGCGGCGAGAATATCACCCCATTAGAGCACTTCACTGTCAGACTGTGGGCTTACTTGTTGGATCGTAGAGTAACTAAAAGTAAAATGGGAGGAAGAGCTTTCAGGCTCAAACTGTGAATTTGGGAAACAGACACCCTCTTTACTTTTAAGAACAGGCTTAAAACTCCTTTTTGATAAAGCTTCAAGATGGGGCTGGATTAGATGACCCTGAACCCTCCTGTAGTTGCGCTGCAATAAGCCTAGGCCTCTGTGGGCTTCCCACGGTGCTTCTTCTTCACTCATTTCTTTTCACTGTATTTGCATTAGCAGTTATTAAACTCTGGCACTCCACATTGTGTCTTTCTCCCGTCCGTCTCTGCTCACCCTAACTGTCAGATGGCCCCTCCTCCCCGAGCCTGGTTCTGCGGAAGATTTCTTCCTGTTAAAAGGGAGTTTTTCCTTCCCACAGTCACTAAGTGCTCATTCAGAGGGGCTGTGTGATTGTTGGTTTTCTATCTAATATTTTAGGATCTTTGCCTTACAATAAAAGTGCCTTGATGTGAGTAGATTATTCTTTTGTTTTCAGGAAATCTCCTAACTACACCTTTTACAAAAAGGTTAAAACACGCTGTTGGGGAATGTCATTTAAAAATATGGTATTACTCACGCATTACTCTTTCTTGTAGATATCATTTGCTGTTAATCTTCACCAGCATTAACACAAACTTTGTACATTGCACTAAAACATGTTCTGCGTGTTAAAGAAGCTGGAGAAATGCTTAAATACAGCTGAACTGATAGCTAGTCACTTTGCTTAGATTCCTTCGCAAACATCAGGGTGAAGGTGTGGGGCCCTTCTCTGTTTGACTGCAGACTGCTTTCCACTGCCCTGTGACATTCCCGGCCCCAAGCCCAGCGTGGGGTAGTGTCCAGGGCCGAGGTGATTTGCGTTAGGGAGCCGACTCCTCCGCAGAGAGCAGCAGCTTATCAGAAACTGTGGCAGACAGGCCTGCATTATTAAATTAGCTGTTCCCGCTGTCAGATGAGGGCCCTGGACTCGGGCCTGAGCCAACATGGTGGCTAATTGTTAAATCCGGACCTCTGTTTCCAACCTTTAATCATTAAAGGAGTGAAACCAGAGGAAGAATTAAGTAGACCCGAGGGCCAAAACAAGGCAGCTGAGGATGGAAGTGTGGGCGTGATATTTGGTCATTATGAAAGAGGTGAGCCTGCAAACGGGTTCACTGTCACATACTTTCTGTCCTCTTTTATCTACCTCCCGCCACCTTAAATCATCCTGGGAAAGTGTCCGTCTCTGGCTGCCGCTCAACAATAGGAATTATTAGATCACTGTCCCTCCCCTTTTGTTCGACCCGAGCAAATTAGCACCTCTGCTCACTGATGCATTCTGAAAGCTTCAGCTCCGGCGGGGGTCAGGAGCCGGTCAAGAAGTGGCGACTTTTTCCAATTTGTCAAAACAAGTCCAACACTTCAGTTTGAGCAGCGAGGAGGGAGGAGGGTTGGGGTCACGCAGTAAGGTGGCTGCGCCAGCGCCAGATGCTCTCGATGCCTGCAGCAGTAACCCTCCTCTTCCTTAACGCCAGCCAGGGCTCATTTTTTTCCAGGTTCTGCCCCAAAGTGCAGGCAAACATCATGTAGTGACCTGACAAGAGGCCCTCCCAATAAAACCTGAAGGTTGTACGAGTGACGCGAGAACCAATGAGTCAGTTCTGGACAGAATTTCATCTTTTGTCCTGGCGAGGCCTGCCCGGTTATCAGATAATGAGTTAAAGCCTTGATGAAGAACCAGAAAAGCCTCAGTGTTTTTTACATAGGATATGCAAGCTCTGATAATGGTAAGCTTTGATTTTTTTTTTTTTTTTAAGGAAAATTTCACTCGTTTTTGTGTTGAATGTGTTTTAACTTATTAACAGATCAATTTAGAATAAACAGGATGTCACAAAAGGTTGTAGAAGTCCTGAAAATATAATAAACTTGGATGTTGTGGTTGTATGTTTGAGTGAGCTCAGAGAAACGATGTTCAACAGATGCAGACTGTCATTTAAGGTTGATGTGAGCTTTTCGAGGTTTGTGTAGGCTTTCCTGTTCAATGATCCGGTTTTCATGGCCACAGTTAATGCATTTAAATGTGAGATTGAGTCGAGGCTCCCTTATGGTCTCAAAAATAGTGTTTTAGTGTTAAAACCTAAGTAATTGGATGTCTGTTGCATATTTCTTGTTGAAGAGCAGGCCTGTTCATTTTCTCAAGTTTATTTGTCAGTGTGAAGCTGTCATCATCTCGGTTTCTGAATTCAACTTGAATGAATCAGCGGATCTGTTGATCTTTGAACTTCCAACACCTGACAGAACCATTTGTCTCTGTCATCATGTTTCTTTCTCCTCATCCTTTCAGTGGTTGGTGTGTTGCCAGCATGAGTAACTGTACTCCCTTAGATACAAAGCGAAGAGGCCTGTGATTAAATGGGCTGAGATTTAAAAGGGTGGAAGGTCAATGTGTGCCATCTCTGGGCTAAAGAAACAAAATGTGCCATACAAACTAAAGACCTGATGCTGTTGTGTTGCATGGAGCTACAGTTTGCTGCATGTTTATTTCCGTTACTCCAGGTCATCGCTTTGAAGATGTTCCTGGCATGCGCCGACACCTGGTCCGGAAGAGCACCAAGAACCAAGTGGTGCACATCGGCAAGGACCACAAGGAGCCGACCACTCGCAGTCGCAAGCAGGATCGCACCCCCCATGAGGTGAGACAACACCTCACACTGACGTCGCACAGGTGTCTTAAATTGATGTTGTTAGTAAGCACTGCATTTTAAGAAACTGCATAAAAATCTTATTATAGCACATTTATAATCTACTGGGCTGAATTAAGAATAAGGTCTTAAATTAGCTTGTGTGTGGTAGTCTGAATGACCCCAATTGAGATAAAGATGTCGAGATAAAACTGAGGAAAGTCAGTTTGAATTGGAAGCTGTCATCACCTCAGTGAAAGTTTAAGAGTTTCTTTGATTTTTCAAATTATTTCTTTACCTCAGGGATCTTTGGAAGAGATGAGTTTAAAGACGAGCGGCTTTTAAAAGTGAAACTCTTCCACTTTTGTAGTGGAAGTAAACAAACACGTTTGTGTGGTTAGAAAGTAAATAGCAGGGCTTTTAAACCCAGTCGTAATTGGTTGGCTCTGTTTTCTACTTCAGATTTCAAATCCTTCAAAGTCCAGGAAATGTTTTCTCTTCTTTCGCTCTCAAATTTAGCAGTGGCTCGACTCTTTTGCCGATGGGCTGGGGAGAGAAGGAGACAATTAAAAATGAATGAGTTCGTTCTTTCCTTTCACACACGGAAAGGAAAAAAGAGGGGAGCTTGGGTAACCAGACACTGGGAGCTCCTGAGAAAGGGGGAGCTATGTTTTATTAACACGCACACACAGATTCCCATACGCAGCTCCGAGCCCCCAGCAGCCCCAGTAAACAACAGGTCCCTGTCAGGTGTGTGTGATGAGGAAGAACTACTTGTGTGGGGATGTGTGTGAAAGTGAAGGTCCCGTCCTTTGTGGCACTGTCGGTCGGGTCAGCGTTTGAGTCGTTTCCTGCACCGTTTGCAGCCGGTGGTTCTGTACCGCTCTGCCTCGTGGACAGAAGGCGTCCACAGATGCGGACAGATGGCGCGTCAGAAGGTGAGGCTGGATGGCCGGCAAGAGTCAGGTTTGATCCTGTGTGAGCGTGACTTCACAGGCATGCAGCAGGGAATAAGGGAATATTTTGCAGCTTGTTGTTTTGTTTTGTTTTGTTTTTTGGGACATCATTACTCGGAGGACTTCGACTGACCCAGCATGGTGTAATTAATCTCTCCCTAACAGATCCTGGCAGCTGGGAGACTGCTGCTGCTGATGCACAGCAGTCTTTGTAGTTGCTTGTTTTTCAAGTGCAGCTGGATGTATAAATTGTTTAGTTTGTAATAGTTGTAAACACATTTTAAGCATGCTTGAAGTGGTTATTAACATTGTAGTTGCTGCTTTTAAGCTATATTTTGGCATTGAAAGAAGCTTTTTGACAAATGTAGTTGTAAAAAGCGCATCCAGCTGCATCACATTTTGTTGGAAACTACAAATTTGTACAGTTATAAAAACTGCTTTTGGATGCTCAAGGGGAAGAAAGTTAAGGCTGTACAGATTCTACTCTTAAAACTTAGATTAAGGATTAACAACACTTATCTTTGTGTGCTGAGTATGTTTTTTTTTAGATAGCTCACTTCTGGAAAGCATGACATGAATCACTAAATTTTCCCCTCATTTCTTAAGTTTTGAGCAGATATGTGAACGTATGAGTCAAGGCAGGAGGAATCAGAAATGTTAGCGCCAACATTTGTTAGGTCCTCCTGCTGTTATTTGTGTATTCTAGCTTTATCCTGTGCCTCTTTTAATATGCTAAAGTGAATGATGGGTTTCTTCATCCACCACCATAGCTCCTTTCTCCTTCAGGTGTGGAGACATCCTCGAGCGTGGCATTTGAGATTGATTGCAGGATCAAGGGCAGATGAGATGAGGCACAAAACAGAAATGAGAAAAGTTGGACAAACTGACCAGTCAGAGTGCTTTACTCACTGTTTCTGTGTGTTTGGCACGGATGTGCAAGTGATGACGTGTGGACCGTATGCATGTAAATCACCTCAGGTCTTTGTGGAGCTGAACGAGCTGACAATGGACAAGAACCAGGAGCTGCAGTGGAAGGAGACGGCCCGTTGGATCAAGTTTGAGGAAGATGTTGAAGAGGAGACGGACCGCTGGGGGAAGCCTCACGTCGCTTCGCTGTCTTTCCGCAGTTTGCTGGAACTCAGAAGGACCATCTCCCACGGTAAAGAGAGAGACTGAGTGTGTTTGTGTAAGCTGTATGCCTGAAAGTCTCCCGTCTGGTTCATAGACGACTGAGCTCAGCTTGCTTGTGTATTTGCAGGTGCGGTGCTGCTGGACCTGGACCAGAAGACCCTGCCTGGCATCGCCCACCAGGTGGTGGAACAGATGATTATTTCTGACCAGATCAAAGCTGAGGACCGGGCCAACGTCCTCAGAGCCCTGCTGCTCAAACACAGGTGATTGGCAGCGCCTCAGTGCTACAAATAAGCTAGCAGAGATTTCATCTTACAGAGGCATTCAGTGCCATTTGAGGTGAACCTGTTCTTGTTAATGATCTGAAAAAATGTGGCACATGCTGTGCACTGCAATGGCGATGATGTCTCAAGGTAGTTAAATGATAAATTGCAAGGTGTGGAAAATGGAGACCAGATATATGTATGTGCACAAACAAATGGAAGCTGGTTAAACTGTGTTTTCTTTTCCTCACCGCTACACACTTCCTGCTATTAGATGGCTTCATGCTTGGTCACTACCTCTCCTCCTCCTGTTCAACCTCTCTCTCCCCACCTCTGCCTCCCCTAGTCACCCGAGCGATGAGAAGGAGCACAGTAGCCATTTCCCCAGGAACATCTCCGCAGCCAGCCTCGGCAGTCTGATAGCGCATCACCACAGTGTCAACCACACCAACCAGACAGAGCCGTCAGTGACCGACCCCCTCATGGGCACAGTTCGCGTTACGGGGGACACAGACACGCACATCGACATGGAGAAGAATGAAGTGCAGGTAAGTCAGAGTCTGCAGAGTTTGCAGAATATCACAGGGATCTTTATCGTCCTTATTTACACTTCCTGTGTTGTTTCCAGCAGAGAGAGCCGAGCATCGGACCTGGCATGCATCGGTCCAAGTCCAAACATGAACTGAAGCTGCTGGAGAAGATTCCTGAAAATGCCGAGGCTACAGTGGTCCTCGTGGGTAAGTTACTCATCTGTCCATGAACTTCTCTTACAGCATCAGCAGTTGTGGCACACAGGTACATCTTAGGCCCCTGAAGGTTCTCATCTATATCACATAATATGGCATCACATTGCCTAGCAACCATCAATCAACAGGCTAAGATTACCCATTTATAGGTTTTTATGCACCTACAACACTTTTATAAAAGCATGGTATAAATTTAATGTCATGATTGTAACATCTAATTTATACCCAGAAAAACTTGAATTATATATGAAATCATCATGTTCCCCAGCACATGTTACCACCTAGCAACAGACTAAAATCACAGGCCAGGTAATGCTGTACCACTAGTTGTGTTTTTTGTTTTTTTTTTATAACTACAGTTAGTCTAAAAAACGGTTACTACTTACAAAACTTTGCCTTTGGTTGCATGTAGCGCTTTCTGCACACTGACCATCATGTCCTGTGGTTTCCCAGGCAGCGTGGACTTCCTGGAGCAGCCCACCATGGCGTTTGTGCGGCTGCAGGAAGCGGTGGAGCTGGAGTCCGTCCTGGAAGTGCCAGTGCCGGTCAGATTTCTCTTTGTTTTGCTGGGACCCGCCACTACAAGCATGGACTACCACCAGATAGGACGCTCCATCTCCACCCTCATGTCTGATAAGGTGAGTGGTGGTGCTGATTTAGACAAGGGGTGTCAAAAATAAGCCCCTGGAGCCAGGATTGGCCCAGCAAAGGCTCTAATCCGGACCACTGGTCAACTTTGAAAAATGTGAAGGAGGACATAGAAGAAATTTACATTTATATGAAATAAAATAACACCTGTAGGTTTCTGTTGGCACCAATGATGTTGGGTAAATTGGTTTATTTCTGCCATCATCTTTCAGCAATTCCACGAGGCGGCCTACCTGGCAGATGACAGGCAGGACCTGCTGAACGCCATCAACAGCTTCTTGGACTGTAGCATCGTGCTGCCACCTTCAGAGGTGGGAGGTGATGAACTGCTGCGCTCTGTCGCCCGCTTTCAGAGGGAGATGCTGCGGAAGAGGGAGGAACTCGAGGTCAAACTAATGGCCAAAGAGCCTAAAAGCCTTGAAGAAAAAGGTAAGTGTTTCCATTTCAATTAGGAATTTCACTCGGATTTGATTTTAGGTGCCTTCTCATGGGTTTTAACGTAAAGCTCTGTTGTCACTCAGAGGCACTCCTCAAACCTTCGAAAAAGTCAGACGACCCCTTAGAGCGTACTGGACGGCCTTTTGGTGGGCTGATACGAGACGTGCAGCGGCGTTACCCAAAGTATGTCAGCGACTTCAAGGATGCCCTGAACAGCCAGTGCATGGCCGCAGTTATCTTCATCTACTTCGCTGCCCTCTCTCCGGCCATAACGTTTGGAGGTCTGCTGGGTGAGTCTGTGTGAGGGAATTGAGAGCGTATTCACGCCTCATATCGCAAATCCTCTCCGTGTTTTGGTAATAGTGGCCTCTTGATTAACCTTTTAACCCCGGGTCTGCCTCCAGGTGAGAAGACAAACGGCCTGATCGGTGTCTCTGAGCTGATTGTGTCAACATCAGTGCAGGGGGTGGTCTTCTGTCTGCTCGGGGCTCAGCCACTGCTGGTTGTGGGCTTCTCTGGACCTCTGCTGGTCTTTGAAGAAGCCTTTTACAGTGTAAGTTGCATAAAAACATATGAAGTTAATTTCAAAAATGTTAAAAATGCTGGTGACTTACAGAATAGGCAAAAAAAATGTGCTTAATGTCTCTGTGCTCACAGTTCTGCACATCAAACGACATAGAGTACCTGACGGGCCGCGTCTGGATCGGCTTTTGGCTCATCATCATCGTGGTCACCATGGTGGCCTTCGAAGGCAGCTTCCTGGTGCGCTTCGTCTCCCGCTTCACCCAGGAAATCTTCTCCTTCCTCATCTCCCTCATCTTCATCTGCGAGACCTTCATCAAGCTTGTCAGGGTACACATGAGACGTGAAAAGCTCCTGATTAGAAAAAGGTTTTGTTGGCACGCTGTGTGTTTGCGCCGCTGACGCTAAGCAGAGCAGACTAATCTCTGGACAGGGTTCAGAAGTCGGGGTCGAAATGAGCGTGTTTTTCTAACAAGCACACCTGAAATCTTTTCTGATTGATGGAGCCTGAATCCTAAATGGATTTAGAGTTTTAATTATGGTCCAGACTTATGATTTTTGGAAGATCTGCTATTTTTAGAGTTTTATGGCACGGACTTAAAAGGCATTTTGCTACGAGCTAATCTCATTTCAAAGAAAGAGTGGTTGCGATACCTGTTAATCCGTCTAAGAAAAGTAATCACAGCGTGTTTGCGTGAGCACCTTTTTATAATATGAAACTCTGTGTGCAGATTTTCAAGGAGCACCCGCTGAAAAGCTGTTCCCTCAACGGCACCGATGCAGACGACTTGGCGGAAAACATCACCCTAATGATGAAAAACAGCAGCCAGCCGGCGACTGTGAAGGTCAGCGGGGAACCGAACACGGCGCTGCTCTCTTTGGTTCTCATGGCGGGGACGTTTTTTATCGCTTTCTACCTGCGCAAATTCAAGAACAGCGCTTTCTTCCCTGGAAGGGTGAGGAGCTGAAATCTGTAATTAAGATCTGCAGCAAATATTTGATCTTGTTTGATGTGACACATTTAGCAGTCTTCTTTAAACCGTGCCGTCTGTGGTGTTTAGATACGCAGGATTATTGGAGACTTTGGGGTACCGATCGCCATTCTCATCATGGTTCTGGTGGATTACTCCATAGAAGACACATACACACAGGTGAGACTCAGTGGACTGTGCAGTGTGTTTATCATGCAAAATATTGGAAAGATAAGGAACCTCCTTATCTCAGAGGTTGATGGGAGTCTGTCTCGTGTCTTCCTTACAGAAACTGAGTGTCCCCAGTGGATTTTCAGTGACTAATTCCAAAAAGCGCGGCTGGTTCATCAGTCCGCTTGGATCAAATGGGGAATTCCCTATCTGGATGATGTTTGCCTGCTGCTTGCCCGCTCTGCTGGTTTTCATCCTTATCTTCATGGAGACTCAGATCACCACGTGAGTTTTGCTGGAGGAGGTTGTTAATCGGTTTCAGCTGCTTGGATGTTAATGAAATTAACAACACGCACATTAGAGGTGCAACAACAGAGAGAGGGACAGACCCCAAACCAGGAATGGTTTTACAGGTGGAGGGCACTGACAGTTTTTCAATAGTTTTGTATGAACGTCATTCAGTAATCAAATAAATAAAATCTGTTACGTTTTTAAAAGTACAAAACTATCAGATTCGTATCCAAATGTGGGGTCAAACAAGTTTAGTAGAGAACTATTTGTAACTTTTTACTAAGAAAGAAATAAATGCACCTGGTCATTATTTATTTCCTAACTGATATTTCTAAACAGCCAGATCATTTTTTAATTAAACACAGTTGTACAGAGTAGACTGCACATTTAATAACCTCCTTCCAAAAACAGAGAAACACCCTGTAACTGAAAGAAGGCAGATAATGTAACAGATGAAACACGGGGAAAATGTCACTCAGCTTTTTTTATGCAGGATATTAAAGTATAAATATATTTATTTCAGTTTAACACTTTCTACAATGGCCTGCTGGGGGCAGTATTCCTTTATTTTTTTCCATTATTTTCTACATTTTTACCATAACTGAAATGGTAAACTACAGCAACAAAACATCAGCCGAGTTCTTTAGTGACCAACATTTTATTGAATCAGGAGATTCTCTGGAAGTTTTGTGTATTTTAGTCGTGATGCACAGTACCGTGCACAAGTTTAAACGTTTAACCACTGTTCATTTATTTGTTTTTCTTCCAAGGAGCCAGAATTTCTTATCATTTTTTCATCTTGACCAAAATTTCTGGACGAGTTTTGTTGGACATTGGCTGCTTTTACCACTCATGTCCAGTCCACTCCATGTACCTGACCATTTTCAGAGGAATATTTTGTTTGTTTATTTAAATTGCTCAGCACTGACCTCATGAGACATTCAAGCATAAAATAAACTCCTTACTCAAGGGATGAACTTCTGTTGTGTCTACACATAACCAACAATTTAGCAAAGAGCCAGTTTGAAATGATATCTTTAGGGATTTTGTTACTAGCAGCCTGTCACAAAAACACACAATTAGTTCTGATTCCTTTAGTTGAATCTATGAAACTAACAGGGTCGTCTGCAAAAAACTATTAGTCAAATTGACATGGTGTGCAGTGTGTCCTTAAAAAAGTTGAGGACAAAAGGAGTAAGTTTACCCAGAGTGAAGAATAAAGGTGGTCGTAGCAAAGATTGAATTTTCCAGCTATTTCCCAGTTTCAACCCATCAGATGTTTAAGCTGTTTTCTAAATGATGTGTTTAGTGTTTTAGCTTCTGTAACGCATCAAAATGCAGATAAACAAGCACACACACAAAAAAAATGCCGTACCTCATCATATGTGATGAATCTGAAATGTGTTTCTTACGTTTGGCTCTGTCCCGGCTTCCTGCAGGCTGATAGTTAGTAAAAAGGAGCGCATGCTTGTCAAAGGTTCTGGTTTCCATCTGGACCTGCTTCTGATCGTGGTGCTGGGCGGCACCTCAGCTCTGTTCGGCCTGCCGTGGATGGCCGCTGCGACCGTTCGCTCGGTGACCCACGTCAACGCCCTCACCGTCATGAGTAAAGCCGTCGCTCCCGGAGACAAACCTCGCATCCAGGAGGTGAAGGAGCAGCGGGTCACCGGGCTTCTGGTTGCAATCTTAGTTGGTGAGTTCCAGACTTATCATCTTTTCTTTCCTCCCGTGGCTGTGTCCTGTGTGAACTTTCACCCTTTAACGCTCTCCTCCGTTAGGCCTGTCGATCGTGATCAGCGACCTGCTGTGTCAGATCCCCCTCGCCGTGCTCTTCGGGATCTTCCTCTACATGGGAGTGATGTCGCTCAACGGTATCCAGCTAACGGAGCGGATGATGCTTTTGCTCATGCCACCAAAGTATCACCCTGACCACACCTATGTACGCAAGGTGAGAGGAACATGAAAACACACATTTACAGCCAAAGTAAAGGACGTGAGGATGGAGATGCTCTGCTGTAGCAGAAACAAACAGAAAAAGAAGTTTCAGGATTTTTGAGGTCTGTCACAAAAAAGATGTTTTGCACACTTAAAAACGCCGGAGTTCCCTCAGAGCGGTTTCCAGCTAGGGGAGACTTTATCTGTGTTAACCCACACAACCTCTAAACGTTTATTTAAACCCCTAAAATAGTTTGCAAAGGTTATAGGTATCTACATTTGGGAATTTTTTTTGAGCGCTCCCTGCAGAAACTGTTGTCCTTGTCAGATATGTGAGCGACCTCTCTATCCTTCAGGTCCGCACGCTGCGCATGCATCTCTTCACCTGCATCCAGCTGGTGTGTTTGGCGGTGCTGTGGGCCATTATGTCGACGGCGGCGTCTCTGGCTTTCCCCTTTGTCCTCATCCTCACCGTCCCCATCAAGATGTTTGTGCTGCGACGGGTCTTCACTGTCAAAGAGATGGCATGCGTAAGTTAACCACAGGGGGGCGCAGTGCCCTGCTTTACGCTGACACACACTGTAGAGGTAAAAAAGGAAAGGTAATTTAAATGTTATGATTAGAACTGATTGATAATATCGATAACATTTATGGCTCTGATGTTGATCCACAGAGATGGGTAGCACAAAACATCAGATCAAAATTTCACTAATTTTTAAAAAATAAAACAAATTTGCGATAAAACAGTCGTTTAAATGAGTCACAACTGTTTCGGAGTTAGTTCAGGTTACTGAACGTGACTTCTTGTCCTTCTTTTAGCTGGATGCTGACGACGCAGAGCCAAAGTTTGACGAGCGCGAGTGTCACGACGAGTACTCGGAGATGCAAATGCCGGTGTGATCCACAGCGAGCCCTCGCATCGTCAAATCGCACCGAAAATCTGTCAGTTATCACCAGTTAGAGTTCTGGGACGGCGTCCTTCAAGCGATGTCCCTCTTCATCATCATCATCAAGACATTGAAATGCAGTATGTCAAAGGTTGCTTTGGCTTTTAACTTTTCACTATTTAAGAAGCTTTTCTGCTGCTTTAATAACAGTTTGTGTCTCAAATAATGGAAAAGCAGCTGGAAACTCTTCGCTTAGTTTATTTGTTTTTATTTTAAACATTTCAGGGGACAAGAGATACCGAATCAAATGACTTTATCTCGAGCTCGAGTTAAACATGTTAACAGTAGATAGACGTATACGATTGATTTTTAGCCCTGAAAGTTGCTCTGATTCACATTGAATATGTGGAAGATATACGGGATACATTCCTTTATGCTTTATGAGTTATTGCTATTCACACTCTTTTCTTCACATTTTAAGATCACCAAGCGCCTTACGAAGGAAATATAAAGGTATTAAGATTTTTTTTCTTTATTTTGTCTTATTTTAGACAGCTGATCACTTTACACGAAAGCTTGTAGCACTTTTAACATAACAAAATCTGAACAATGACTGTATTTTATGTAATCAGTGTTGCTTTAGTTTGCTTCTTAAATGATCTGTGAGTGATTTTTAGCCTACTTTAACTATTTGTTGTTTTTGTGCAGAAAATGCAGCATTTTAAATGTTTATATTTCACCTGTGGTGAGTGAAGATCACCAGCAGGGGGAGATCTTGTGGGACTGTTATGACGTTCCATAAGAAAAAAGAAAACTGTTCAAAAAATGCAATTTCTCTCTAAACTAATGACATCATATCACATTTCTCATCGTGCAAACACTTTTTTTAAAACGGAAAATGACACTGTGGCTTATTAAGTGTACTTTAAAATGTGTCCAACACATACACATATATATATATATAATATATATAATAACTACATATATATATATATATATATATATATATATATAATATATATAAAATATATATAATATATATAATAATATATAAATTATAATATATATATAGTATAGTATAGTATAATATAGTATATAGTAGTAATATATATATACACATATATATATATATACATATATACACATACATATACATATATACACATACACACATACATACACACACATACACATACATACATACACACACATACACATACACACATACACATACACATACACATACACATACACACATACACAGACACACACACACACCCGTACACGTGTAGGGCACTAATGTAGTTTGTTCTGAGGTCTCATTTCTCGTGTGGTCTGTTAACGGTGGTTTCTTTGTGCCAAATGTCTCGTGTAAATAGTTTTGTGGTCAGAAAAATAAGCTGCACTTCAGTCACGTCAGATCTCCTCTAACTTGAAGGATTTTCAGCCTAATTTTAAATATTTTCACAGCAGGACATTCCTCGTTTTTAATATGTCACTCGCGATTGTGTCAGCCTGGTCGACAAAATTTCCAAACAACCTGTTTAGACAATCTCATGGATTGGTTAAAGCTTTGACTGTGTCAAATAGTTTAAATATTCAGCCCCTGTTACTCTCACCTACATGTTTCAAGCACTACGTTTCCCTCCAGGCGGGCCAGTTTCACTGTCGCTGTGATCTTGTTGCCTTTTTCATGTCACAGTCGCACAAAATCTGAAGTGCCTGTGGGACCATGAAGTGATCGGTGTCTCCTGTGTTTTAAGGATGGCACACGTTACAGTAGTTTGCACATTTGAGACATGCATAAATCAAAAATCTCTTATTTATCTGTTTATAATCTGTGGAGTAATTGCTGCTTTAGATGCCTTAATCGGGTTACGTCACACAATATTATTTTCTTCTGTACACACACGCTCAGCTGCAGCACGCCCACGGCAGTGAAGGCGATATTTATGAGAGGTTGGATTTGAGTGTCAGTTTTGTGTCTGCTTCTTGTGCCTGTGATTGGAGTGAAGGCAGTCTGTGTATGTCAAAGTATGCTGATGATTAAAAGTATGTGGATTCATTTCAAAGCAATAAAGTCTTCAGGCTATTGCTGATGTTCCCGTGTACAATAATGGTTCAAATATTGATGATGAATAAAAGTTATTTTCTATCGTTTGTGTCTGTTTGGCTGTCTTTATGTAAAACACCTTGGAGGAAGGAGAAAAGGTAGATGCACAGAAGACATATTTAGTCCCAAATGCACATACAAGGAACTGGGCTCTATGATTGTCACCTATCACGTCTTGGTGCTGCTCTCCTTTCCACTGCTTTTCCACTGAAAGGTAGAGGAAGTCCCAGAGCAGCCATACCACCAAACAGAAATTATGCAGGTGGCAGCAATCTTCTCTTAATGATCTGGTATTTGACTAAAAAAAGTTGTAAAATTAACATCAAAGTTTTTAAAATAGCAAAAAAAGAGAGTTTGGCAGCACAAATATGATGGTTTCAATGAATGTGCAAACAAACATCAAGACTGAGTCTGCAAGAACACAATCTGACTCACATATTGGTCTATGATATGCTGTGAAGCATGAAGAAAGCATGAGTGTGTGCATGCATTCAATTTACTATTACATGGACGGTATATTCAAGAGTGTGGACAGGTGCACGGGTCTCACTCCTAATGCTGGCCACATATTAAAAGTGAGGGACCAGCAATGTGTATGAGCAGAGGGCTCAGAGGACCAAGAAACTTTCTGATTCTCAGCAATAAAATCTGTAAAACCTGGAACCTGAAGGGAAGCCAGTGAGCAAAAAGTGTGAAGTGATATGAAAGTATTCCTGAAGCTTTAGTTTCAGTTTTAGTTAAAGGTCACAGCAAGTGCAGATTTTTTTTTATGTGCTGGTAGTGCAGCGTTAGCAAAACTGAAGAGGTGGTTGGATCATGTTTTTTATTTATTGAAGCCGCGATTCCAAAAATCTGGAAAATCATGGCACTGGAAATTGCCATCATGATTTCACTCTGATTGACTGTGGCCTTTTTGTGCATTGTCTGGTCCTTATTCTCATTTAATAAGATCGCATGCTTTAGCTCAGGGGTTTCGAACTCCAGGCCTTAAAGGCCAGTGTCCTGCAGGTTTTAGATGTGTCCTTGATCCAACACAGCTGATTTAAATGCCAAATGACCTCCTCAACATGTCCTGAAGTTCTCCAGAGGCCTGGTAATGAACTAATCATGTGATTCAGGTGTGTAGACTCAGGGTGAGATCTAAAACCTGCAGGACACCGGCTCTCGAGGCCTGGAGTTGCCCACCCCTGCTTTAGCTCCAATAAAACAAACACAAAAAATAGATTGTTCTATTAAAATGTTGAAATCCTAAGCGACTTTTTGACTCGGGTTCTTACTCAGATTTTCAGTCAAGGGAACGCAAATATTACTGCATTCTTGAAATTTACTGTCACTAAACACAGTTATTACTATTTCTTTCAGTGATATTATGGACCAGGGGTCTCAAACTCCATATCCTGCAGGTTTTAGATCTCACCCTGGGTCAACATACCTGAATCACATGATTAGTTCATAACCAGGCCCCCTGGAGAGGTTTAAGACGTTTTGAGGAGGTAATTTAGTCAGCTGTGTTGGATCGAGGACAAATCTAAAACCTGCAGGACACTGGCCCTCGAGGCCAGGAGTTGCCCACCTGTGGTCTAGGTGTTTTCCAGCTCAGGGCTTGTTGAGCGGACAGTATGACGCTTAAGAAAACAGTACAGCCTTTTAGCACATCTGATTCATGGCAGCTGACTTCATTTGCTGTGCAAAAACGTTTCTACCCTCATAGAGCACTTGACATGTGGCTAGGGGGTTGAGCAGATCATCTGCTAGCTGGAAGTTGGAAGTTTGGTCCCAGTCTGCATAATTCTTAGTGGGCAAGATGCTAAACCCCACTTTGCTTTCCAATGTGTTCAGCGTGAATGTTAAACAGAATGCATTGTAGAAATATGTGATGTATGAATGAGACATGACATATAAAACACTTTGAGTGCTCAAGTATAGTAGAAAAGTCCTGTTTACCATAGTAACTTGGGACAGGCTGAGTTGTATTTGTAACTGAACTGATTGGAGCCTGAAAGGGGGTGTACATGTAGGAACAGGTGTTTGTGATATTTAGAAACTTGAAGCAAGACAGGAGTTAAATATTTAAGGGGAGAAACGAAAAACAGTGTTAGTGAGTGACAGATGAAGGAGTCGGATACATTACAACAGGCGCATCAAGCTCTTTGTACTGTAGTTCATAGGGCAGATACAGCTCCACTTAGAGCGACCAGGTCCTAACAAAATAGATGTGCTTAGTTTTTTTGTGTGGGACACATCACCAATTTGAATTTAAGTTATTGCTTAACCGTCAGAGGCCTCTACAGACACACTGTAGTTTGGACAGGACACAGAGGATATGTGAGTATATACTGCTGATTCATTTTCTCAGTGATAGTTTCATCATATTCAAAAAAAATCTGCTAAGCTTGTATGTTTTTGGTGAGCTGTATGACTCCAGAGATGTGGGACGGAGGAGGAAGAATAAAGATGCGATGCAGTCCCACTTAAAGAGGAACGTCGCCCTACCACAAGACTTGCAGATGATTAATGTAAAATGCCGAAAATCAGACCCATGATGTGTTTTTAAATCCTTTATATTACATATTTATGAATGTTACACTGCTTCACATTTACATGGATGGACATTTACTCAGCTGTTCCATCCATCCGTCTTTTCTCTTCCACTTATCCAATTCAGGGTCGTGTGTGTGTCTATTAATGGATAGTTTGCTTTAATAAAAATCTCTAGCTTAGATGATGATAAACTGAATTTGTATCATGTGTTTACAAAGAAACAATGGAAAGTTTGGAATCTTTTGTAAGACACATTTTCAAATTATAGCCAGTAACAAAAAAATAAACATGTATAATAAAAAGTAATAGTCTCCTCTTTCATAAGCCCACCAGAGGTTGCCACACACTGGTTCAGCTTTTACTCGTGACAGTCTGTAAACATGGACGACAGTGGCTGCATATGGAGGTTTATTTCCTTTATTTACACTGATGTTAAGGGCTTTGTGTTTATAATATGATCCAGAATATTCGAGCACGTTTGGTGGAAAGAGACAAATTATACTTGCACATAATTTTTCATTTTGGATACAGAAATAACAAAGCATGGAAAAGCTGGATCTTTTCTTCCTGAGTCATTTTAATTGGTTACTGTCCAAAATAATAAATCACTGGGTTAAAGTGAGTAAACCTGCGTCTGATTCTGTTTGTGTCATGTGTTTCCAGGGATGTCCCACTGCCATTCAAACAAATTTGGACTCTGACGTGTCCCTGTGTTTTAAAGGGACTTTTTATAATTACACAGAGAATTAAACTAAAACTTTAACCACCAGGGGGCAACATTTTATCAATTGAGTGATACCCGTTTAACTTGGTCATCTTTTCTTTTTAGCCTAAAAATGTGTTGAAAGCTTACACAGGCCCACTGCATCATCTGGTGGTACAAATGGAAATTGCATGAAATCGCAGCCCAGGCCTCGTTTAACTTTAATTAGGTTCTTTACAATATAATGCACAAATCTGACTTTAAGCTCTCAAAACTATGGTGAACCTATTAACTAGTAAAATTCCTTTATATGGTCACTGAGTCATACAAAACAGCTGCGGCTGCCATGAGACAAATATCTGTTTTTGAATTTGCATCAATTCACATCTTTGCATATGGAGGTTTTGCAGGCATGCGACCCCTAACCATGTGACATTAACCTATTTGCCATTTTGGATGTGTTACAATCATGGTGACAATGTCAGGCCTAAGTCACATAGGCCTAACGACCAGTCTGCACTATGGTCTAAATGTCTAACCCCTGATTGGTCGGTAAAAATTTCCTTGCAGTTTCCTGCGATCGCCCATTGTTTCAATGGAAGATGATGACTTGTCTATGCTGAAGAAATGCTGAAGAATAATTATTATGCACATAGGTGTTTTAACATAAAAACACAGTGGTTAGTTACAACATATGGTTAGAAAGGCTGGGACTGAATACCTGTCCACTGGGTTGCAGAGGTAGAAGAATCAGGCTTTGACACAGACAGCATCTCTTCTGTCTTCACTCATGAGCTCATCGGCTACCAAAGACAAGCAGCTAGAATGAGGAGTGAAATGGTGCAATGATGATAACATGGAGCAGAATCTGCAGGGAAAGTTTCCAGGTTTGAATCTGGCCATCTTCAAGCAGTTTATCAGCGAGCAGGATATTTTTACACATTTAGTATTTTTACATGTTATTCTCCGCTTTTTATTTGTATGGTTCTTAAAGTATCTGTTTTCAATTAATTTCAGTTCCTGACTTGATCTGAAATTTTAATAGACAGGGACTGAAGATGAGCTTTTTTTTATAACACTCATTTCCACAGACTGTATATAAAGGATGGATGTATGCTTGCTGGTCTGAAATTGGTATCTAATGCAAAAGTACCTAAAACCTACATTCTTTTTAATTGCAACTGGGGGGGGTGACTGCTATCTGCTATGGCGCCATAAAGACTTTGACTGTTTTTTAAAAATGGCTGTTTGGATCCACTGAGCTCAATAGAAACCTTCCCAACGAGTTTGCAACTTCACTCACTTTTTCTAAAATGCTCAGGTCAAAACCTTTGAAAATGGGCAAACAAGCCAGTAATATCACAATGGTTAGTCAATCCTTTATATACAGTCGGTGGTCAGTTCAGCTAATATTTACGACTAACATTTAAAATTATGCCAAGAATTATTATATTTGTTTTACATTATTTATAGTACAAAACTATAAAGTTGTTAAATAAAATGAGGACCAAGAATTGAACCCTGTGGAGCGCCAATAGATTTCCCTTCAGTAAAATAATGTAAATCAGTTTAGTATGTGTTCTCTTTGTTACTTTATCAATCCAACTTTATTTTGTGATTTTCTACATGAAATTCAGTACTACTTTATTATCATTGTGCTGATAGAAAACTAAAACTACTTTTTAAATGTCAAAAATCTTTCTGATAAAAGAAAGAAGTTGGGAGGTTGCAGACATCTACTCTGGATCAACACTGAGGCATAATCAAAACAGAAACGCCTGTTTTTCTCCCTTGTAAGGGCAGGGTGTTCTTCTGTCTTTGAGTAAACAGTACAGAAGGGGGTGGTCTGTTGCTCTTTACACATCACCCTCACTCTTATGGCCACAAGGAGAACGATGGCTGCTCTGTTGGTTTGGCTGTTCAGCGTCGGAGCTTTCTTCTTGTCCTTGAATGCACAGGAACTCCCTGAAACGTATAGGAAAGGAGTAGATCTGGCCTTAGCGAAGCTCCACTCTCTCTCTGGAATCCAAGATCATTATGTCTTCTTAAGAAGTGTCTCAAAGTCGGACTATGAGGTACTGAACAGCACATCCAGTTTTATTGCTCGGTTTTTATCATTTGTTTCGTAAGACCTGGTTATTAGTTAATGGTTTATGGTGTATTTGGATTAAAATCATCAGGAAATGTGCTATAAGCAACAAAGAATATGATGCTTTCATGAACTAAAACTCATCTGGGTTGCTTTGCTTCTTTCTTCTCAGATGGGTTTTGATGTAAGCTTCTTCTATCACCACTTCTACCTTAAACCCACCACTTGTGAAAAAGGGACCACTGACTCCTCAGCGTGTGAGCCTAGAAACGACAGAGTAAGTTTTTGGCGAGTTACTCGGCTCAGGACTGTGGAATGTGAGGATAATGGCCTGCCCTAACTTGTCTATGCTGTTTTGCTCTTGTGCATTCATGCAGCCGCTGATGGACTGTGCAGTCTGCTACAGAATGCACAGAGGAGAAATCGAACCAGAGCCCAAACCGTATATTCACTGCCTCCGTAAACCGGCCATCACACAAGTCAGTATCTCCTGCTTTACCTTTAATACAGTCTCTCCCAAAGTTCTAACTGTGGCCTGTCATAAGTGATGAAACCGCACTGCAGTGATAAACATGTTTATCTTTACTTGGTTATGAATGGCAGGCAATGACAGCAGGCAGACTGGAGCACTGCAATAAACTGGGATACAGCAGCGGGTCAACAGTTCTTCTGGGATCAACAGGCAAAGAGTGAAAGTTTTGTTAGAAAACATGCAGCATTTAGTGTCTTTGCTTCTGAAAATATCTAAAAAAAACTACAATCAGACAGGTAAATTCTTGTCAGTCTGCACTTAACCTTTCTGTAGTTTGGTAGATGTACGTATGATGTTTGCATCTTGTCTT